ACACCAGGCTTCTCAACCTGGCCTCGCTTTCTCTTTGTCGCGTCGGTCTCTCAGCGTTTCTCTCTCATGTATGCATAATGCCGGGCCTCAGGTTGCTGATTTGGGGACAGTAATTGGTCATTAGGTGAGGGACAGGTGCAGCTGCCTCTTTTTTGCAGCGTTAACAAGGCATTTCATCATGGTTAGCAGGCTGCCGGTGCTCTGATCAGCCGTTGTTTTTACGACAATACCAGACACACGAAAAAATGTGCATGCCCACATACAGTACTCGTATTGACACTCCGGTGGTCCCCGCTGACTAATGCTGCCGTGCAGCGTTGCTGCATTAGAGGATTTGACTCCAAACAAGCAGACGGCATTTTGTCTCCTACCGTTTGCAGCTAAATTTTGTTAACCATGTTGAGACGGTCAGCTGACTGAATGCATGACATAAGGTTTGGAGCATCAGGTTGAGTTAATGATATAAAAAAAAAGAAGAAAAGTAATAATAATAATAATAATAATGCAAAAATAATTTTATTTTCTATGATTATAATTGTAAAAGTTTTGCAATCCGTTTTATTTTGTATCTGTTTTTAAAAAATCAGTTTTGTCTTTCAACTTCCATTTAGTCTTGTTGACTGAAAAGGCAAAGTCCAAAGAGGAGTTTGGGTACTTGAGTATGTGCAGAAGTACTCACATGTTGCAGAGACGTGAAAGATTGATTTATTCATAGGTTTTCACACTGTACTCTTATTTTTCAGAAGAATAACCTGGAACACTGAAGCAATCACGCATGCAGACCTCTAAGCATATTCTTTTTATGAGATTCAAAAAAAATATTTAATGCAAGCAATTTATCGCGTACAACAGATAAACTGTTTCTTTGCAACTGCATTCCAAGGACGCTTATGATTTATTTTCTATTTCTTCCAACTTATTGTGACTTACTATCAGAACAAAAAAAAAAAAAAAAAGGCAATTGTTATCATATAATGATCAATTGGTGTTTATCTCACTAGGCTCTTCTAAAGGTCGCTGCTAATAAATTGTAGTCAGAAGGAAGTTTAGAGGAGTATCTGAAAAAATAAAAAATAAAAATCTTTGGTAAGTTGTCATGGCACTCAAGTGCTTTCAGCTTTCAGGAGGAGAGAAGCACAAGTGAAATGTCAGACTGGGCACAAGATCTGTACAAAAATAAAGATGGGAAAAGTTTTTCTTTTTTACTTTAAGTTCTTGGTCGCTTGAAGTTCATTTCTTAGTTTATGGCTCAACATTACAGTGTTGCTGACTCGAGTTTCCATTTTCAGGTTCATCTACCGTCACTCCCCTCAGCATAACCACATTCCCTTTCCTTTGCCATCTCACAACCAGTCAAACAGATTACTACGGGCGTTAACCCCATTGATTTGCTCCAAATGGCCTCCAAATGCCAGGAATTACATTTCAGACGAGGGGAGGGATAGAAATAAAGTGTTGTTGGATTTCTTGCCGCTTTGCTGCAGGATTAAGTGATGTTTTGTAAAACAGTGGCATTTTTTTTTTGCTCATTTTTTTTTCTTCATGCAGTACGGCTTATTATATGTCGACACTAAAAATGCAATCTAAATATATTTATTGCATTCACTGGAAAAGATTATTCAAATTGTATTAAATTTAGTTGTTTTGAGAAATAGGAATGCTTGCTCAAAGAAGTTTAAGTACAGAACTTTAATAAAAACTTGGATCTAAAAAAAAAAGGAGTATCTGAAATGCCAGACTAAGCATTTCAGATTCAGATTCCATTCAAACTAATGTCAGTGTTGGCCTACTTCTGATTGGTTATCAAGACTGATTGGTTATTGTTTTCCTGGTGATCAGGTGGTGCCCCAATTGGTTATTTATATAGTTATGAATGGATCAGAGGTCCCGCTAGACTTCTTTATTATTTGTCATTTTTTACTAATGGTGTCAAAACAATCCTATCATAATCTGTTTTTACCCATCAAGTTCTAAACTGATGACATTTAATTGCATTTTCTTTTCCCTCTGTTTAAATATGAACAGATAATCTGCATCATATTATTATCAAGCTGAATATATTTTACTTTTTCTCTGCAGTGGCAAAGTTTTGAAAGGTAACATTCCACCATGTAACGTAATCAGATGTCGGCGATACTCGGCTCCCTTATTTTCACGAAAAGCACCTTGAAGTATCTTGTGTGTGAACAACGCTACGCACACAAATGTACTTTTACCATTTTCTTTGCCTTTCGTTACTCGCTTGCCACGTGATTTTCCTGCTGACTTGCACATAAATTCAATTGTGCATTACATCTTGCTAGCCTCTGAATTATAAAATACTTTATGACTGTAGTAGAGAGCATGCTGATAATTGTGGCTTGTGATCCAGCGTCCTTACTCGTGTCTTTCTTTTTTGTTTCCCTATCCTTCCTCTGTCATTACTTTGAGTGTCTGTGCTCCTCTTTATACTTTTATATTATTTCCTTCTGAGCTTCTTTCACCTCGAGGTTTTCTGTTTGAATTCTGTCTGTTCAAACCTCTACAGCATCTCTACAGCTGAATAACTATTGATCAGAGTTGGAGTGGTTATGCTACCTAATGAGAGACTAAATATAGCAGTCGCTGCAACGGGCCTGCTGCGGCATCCTGGCTCATCTGCTGCTCAAAGTGTGAATAGTCACACCGTTGGCATGACAACACAGCGGTCAAGGCTTTATGAGCAGTCACAACAGATTGTGTACTTGTGTGCAAGTTTTGTGGGCAAATGTAGACGGGGATGAATGAAGCAAAACGGGAACAAAATGCAGCACTTCGTAAAGAGAGTCCTTAAGAAAGTCCGTAGTTGTTTGGACGGTTGGACATTATTACTGGGATACAATGCTACTTTTCTTAACGTCTCCTTTACTACATTTTACATAATCGTGAAATTATTGTTGAGTCAGTGACTGGATAAAAACATAATAGCATAAAACATTTTGCCACCTACATCCCATTGTTGCGTTGTAAGTAAATTGGCTTAAACCTACATCACTGAGACTTATTGTGTTCACTTTGACAAGTTTAGCTGCCCACACTTACTTCTTTGTTGCATGGTAACCAATTGAGTCACAATCCCTCAATACCAGCCCACCTTTTCCCAGCCAGCTGGAGGAAAAAAAATAAAAAATTGAAGAATAAGCATGTGCTAATGGGATATCTTCTTTAATAGCCTACTGTTTCATTCAGCTGCGTGGCCACGATAAGGACTACCCACTGTGCCTAATCACATCTTCTCTCTCTCATTTCACCTGAGGCACATCTGCAATCAAGTCTATTTTTGACCGGCACTAGTGCATGCTTTGCTCTGCTGGGATTCAGAAAGGAAAAAAAAAAAAAGCATCTATGTGCATGTACCATGATGAAAAATACATTCAACCTCACAAAAGCTTGAAATGACGACTAAGCGTCAATCTGAGAATGAGGAGGTGAATGCAATATGGAAGAGTTCTTATGTGCGTATGTGCACAGAGTTGTTTTTTAATTAAGTACATACAAATTCAACTCTGAAAAGTGTGGCGTGACAGTTCATCTGTGTGTAATTTAATGTTTAATTTAAAAATTACGGCTGTTTTATGTAGGCGTCTTGAGTTTTTTTTTTTTTCTTTTTTTAAGAACATTGGTGAAGACACCAAACCGTTAGGTAGGTAGGCAGGCTGGCTATTTTCCTTCATTCTACCTCAAGATGACACAATTTTACGTTACTGTGTCCTAAAATTCCAAGAAGACGCATTTAGTATATGAACAAGCTCACAGTTAAGTTAGTTAGATATAAACCAATTGAATTTAATAACTGAATAATTCTGTTAGCAGCTGGAGCTGATTTGTTTTATATTCATTTCTGAATTTCAAGAGATTTTCTCCTCCAGAAAACATTTGCGATCCTTGTGTCATTGGTGTTCAACAGCTTGATGTAGTAAGCATCTGATTGTATTTAAATTGTCTCATCTGTTTGTTTTCTGCTCACATGTTTAAAAAAAAACTGATTGTATCCACGCATGCAGGTTTTTGTTGGAGAAAAAGAAAGAAGCACATTATGCTAGTTTTCAAAATTTTACTAAATATAAATATACCAATAAAACCCACTAGCATACAGTTGAGCGCTGCTTTTGTGTGTCATAAAACACTCTTCAAAACAATCAATTATCGGTTTTCAGACCTCCAACAATGAGCGGCACTGTTGGTTAGTGTTTTTTTTTTTTTATCCAGTCACGGCTAACAGCTATTAAGGTAGAAACACAAAACAAACACAATTAATTGTGTGCATTAATTTATGAACACATCCTGAATTAAGTGGTCAATTGAAAAAAAGTGAGCAGGAAAAGTGTTTCGTGCTGATTGGTGTATCATGGTAAACTGTGGATGTCTTAGAACAACAGCAATAACAGTTAGCAAACAATTATGTTGCAATCAGTAGTAACTACGCAATCTTTTCACATTCCTCCTCCGAATGTTCTTCCCCTCACGCTCCTTCTTCTGGTTGCCATAGTAACATGAAATGGCTGCATTATGTAGCACCGAAACAGTGGAGGGTTGAATTTAAAGCCTGTGAGCTAGATTGTTTTACTGGTGCGCGCGCACACACACACACACACACACACACACACACACACACACACACACACACACATAAAAGTGTGTGTGTGTGTGTGTGTGTGTGTGGATCAGCATATGCTTATGTCTCACCCTCTTGGCTGAGATGTAAGCAAAAGCAAACTTAACACGGCAGTTAGTCCACCGAAATTAGGATGATTAAAAATAAAATCAGTTTTACTTTTCCTCATTGCTTTCTGTTTTCAACACTCAAATATTGTTGCAAGGCGCAACATTTGTGATGAATACTTTTTGATCCGTGTGAGAGACGAATCACCGAGGCGACATGATTCAGATCAAACTCCGATCTGAACTGAATGCATCTCACTGCGAAATCTAAAGTTACATTTTATCACAGTTTGAATTGAATTGCTGTTATTGTCATAAAGTCTAATCAAAATCTTTCTTTTATCTTCCCCCCTCCTTGTGTTCCTCTAACTCCTCCAACCCCTACTTTCACTCCCCACTATATCTGTCTGTGTCTGCAGTGTGACAACGCTAAAGGACTGAGGGCCTTTTTTGACGCCATATGCTACGGTCCCAAACATCTGATGATCTTCGGAGGTGTGTGCCCGTCTGTGACCTCCATTATTGCAGAGTCTTTGGAGGGCTGGAATCTGGTTCAGGTAGGGGTTTGTTGTATATGTGAGCACACACAATGTGTGTGTGTGTGTGTGTGTGTGTGCCACACTGTACAGTCGATACATCCTGTCACAAATAATACACTTCTGTGAGACCTACCTATTATAAAGCTTGTTGGTTTTAGGCTTTACACAGTAAAGTTCAGCTTTTTTTTTTTTATATTACTGCTTTAGAAAACTCAGACACAAAATGTTTGGGTCACCTGCCTTTAACATGCAAACTAGGTTTTGGTGAACAATTGGGATTGAGGTAACTTTCCAACAAGATATATATAAAAAAATACTCAGTGTGTGGTAATTGTTGCATACATGTTGGCTGCATATCTACAATGCAAGTCTCCCATTCTGTCACATCTTAAACTTGCTGTGGTGGATTGAAGTCTAGTACATCACGCTAAGTGTCATGATTGAAAGGCCAGCTTGAGACATTTTAAGCATCATTGTGCTGGAAGGATCCGTCAGAAGATGAATAAAATGCTTGGGTCGAACTTCATTGTTCAAACTTTAATGCACAAACTTTAAGTGAGCTTCAGGCTTCTCTCCTTTTGCGACATTTTTAAACGTTGGCTTGACTTTTTAATATATATTTTTACTTACAGTTTCCAAATGCTGTTGCATACACAGCTAATATTTGAAAACTGGCTTAGAGGGCATTTTGGCACGCGTTTGAACTAGATCTGTTGAGTTAATTACCTACTTTCGAATTTTGCTATTCATTTACACCAGCTTCTCATATTGACATTTGGGGGTATTAGTTCAGCGCAGCATCAAGACTGCAGACTTGGCAAATTAAAAACCTTTAATTCTTACGTTTTGCAAAACTTTTGACCCCTGAAGTTGTGGCTCCCCGTGTCTTTGAATCTGCTCTGAACGTACCAGGGAGGGAAACTGCCTCTTTCCAAATAAATCATTTAATTTGTTGTAAACCTCGCAAAGGTTATCGAGCGTAGATAAGGAGGGAGGAAGCTTGCGCTTGTAAGAGAGAGCATAATTGAAGAGCCTGCATTTTGAACTGAATGTCGCAGAACGTTTTACATTTCTCCTGCTTGCCGTTACCTTCAGTCTGCTTCTCTTCATATTGCTCTTTGCTCGCTATCTTGTGCAGGTCTCTTAAGAGGGAAAATATCAACAAGGAAAGGTGATAAAAGTTGGGTATTTTTGTGTCTGTCTTCATTTTTTTTTTCTCAGTGGTAATACCAGTCTACATAGAAGGTTCAAGACATGCCTAGTTTGAGGTGTCCTTAGACGTGTATGTGTGTTTGCTCCACTCTTAGTTTTTATTAGTTTGTTTGAGAATGATACCTCTGAGAGCAGCAGTGGCACTCCTTTGCTTTAAAGAACACACTGTTTGGAGCAATTTGTTCTCCAGAGCACTTTACCCAGTAAGGTCTTCTTTGCTATCAATACAAATACTGACACCAACAAATTGAGGCCAGCCTTTTCCCAAAATACACATTGTGTGGCTGTCGCAGCACATTGCGCCAAGTGATTTGGTGAAACCAGAGTTGCATGCTAATGGCTGGCAAGATAGGAGTTTCACAGAACCTTGCAAAAACAATTAATGTCTTTGATCTTTCTACATTTTCTTCCCCCACTCCAACGACACAGTGCAAGCTATTTTCTGCTGTCGCTGCTTTACAACTGCAAATTCCTTTGGAATTTATTGGAAGTTTAATGATATGGACAAACGCGTTGCAGAGTGTGAATGTATCCAGTATGAAATCAGGAAGAAGGTCCCTAAGGATGAACTGCTAAGGTTTCTTAGGAAGCAGAAACCTAGCGTGTAAGATGAAGAGCAGGAGGCATAATCAAGGAGAGAAAAGCCTTTGCATTGCCCGTATCATCTGCAGATACGGGAAGTGGCGGACATTGTGAAGTTCTACAAATGACTAGATAAGACTGTACCAAGGGACTGGGCAAAATCAATAATCACAGCAGCACAGACCCAACATGCAGGCTGGGCAAACATGCCCATGAAATAGTCCAGAACTTAGTACCTGGATACTGGCAGGTTAAGCACACACGTAAGCATATGCTTTGAATTGTACTGGAACATTTTGCTGAGAATGTGCTGGAAGTCCCACCAAGAATGGCAAAAGCTAAAATTCTTCCTGATCTAGACTGATAAGCAGGGTAATGGTAAACCAACTGAACACTGGGTCAGTACACAAAACAAAAAAAAAAAGAAATTATTACTTATTTAATTGCACTTACACTTATTTAATTGCATCTCTTTGATGCAACCCAACTTTTAGATTGCCAAAATAATATTAGAACAGAATCTGATTGATCAACGAGTACATCTCAAATATCCTCTTTGTTTGTATTTCATGAATTCAACGCAATTAGTAAATTCATAGTACATTAATTAGTAAATATGAACATATCTTTTTAGTGGAGAGACTCGTTTTCCCTACTTTGGCATCAGATACAGTTTTAAGAGATTATGACAGCTTCAAGCCAGAGTAATGTTGTTGTTTTAAGGAGAGAAAGAAAAAATGAATAGCCTGTCTGAACCGTGTGCCAGAAGGTGATATAAGCGGATCTCCCCTGTTTTTCTCCTATTTTGTCGTAATCAAGTTTTAAACTTGACATTTCTATTAAATTGCTTACCCTAGTCTTGGTTTATACGAAAATTGTGATTTTCGTTTTCCGTGGTGATTAAATCAGCTACACTTAATAAGCTCATCCTTACCACATCAAAACAGAAAGCTGGCAGACGTTATCTACAGAATATATAGCTGAGAACAGCCATTAAAGAAAAGAAAGAAAAAGAAGGTTAATCATTCAGTCATAAAAATAGTTTCAATTAGTGGTCGTACCTAACGAAGTTCCAGGCTCGACTAAAATAAACTCATATTCCATTATCTTCACGAAGGCCTGAGTTCGCCTCTAGATGCAAATAAAATCGTTATTCTTGTGAAAGTGTTTTAGAAGGCCAATGGAGTTTAAAATATAGCTTAATTGGCAAGTAGTAGACAACAAGGGCATGGAAATATAAGTATGATTTTTAGCTGTAGTGTCATTAGTTGTCTGTTACTCCAAGAAAAATAGACAAAAATTAATTTAATAATTAGGAGCCTGTACCAAGCAAGCCATGTTTCTTCATTTTATCCATTATAGTGAGACTTTAAACCATTAATCCAATTAAAGAAAATTATGTTTACCCTCCGTGGAGATATTTTATTTTGTCTAAGCTGTTTCTGAGAGCACCGTCATCCAAACAGTTCTGCGAACCTGGGCGCAAACTTTAGGCAGGGCTGCTACATTTCAACAGAAAAACAAAGTACGCCTACCAGGGGCAGGGCTGCTTTTGCTCTTATTTTTGTGGCAACAATTATCATATACCAGGTGACGCACCTTTTAATACACCTGAAACTCGGGTCTCACAGTATTAAAATTCAAACCTGATAACCTATATTTATTACTAATGAATCTGTGGATAACCGGAAATAAACTCAGCTGCAAGCTGAGTACCAAAATTGGTTAAAATACATTAAATAACCAAATATATTAGAATTGCAATGAAACTAAATAATAAAATGAATATTAAGCTAAATGTGCATAGAAACATTGTGGCTGAAATATTTTTGCTGTATTTTATATGCATTTTCACGTGAATGTCAATAAATATTCATATATTGGCAAAATATCACCAGCGGAGAGAAGAGGAGAGAAGATACTCAAAGTAAGGACGGAGGGAGGATGGGCAAACAATAATGAACCAGCTGTAGCACAGCAGAAAAAAAAGGGGGAGGGCGTGAGCAGTGCATACATGAGCATGATTGACAGCGCTAAGACCCCGCACCGTGCTCAGATTGGTTAATCCTGACCAGGTGTTGTATTCCTGTAGAAAACAGCAGTACTATAGATTGTTTTCAAAAATCATTTATCTCATTTTATACTGTCATGACGTAGTGATGGTTTTTAACAAATTTGTAAAAAAAAAACAAAACATTTTTTTTTTTTTTAAATAAAAGTTATGTCCCTTAAGACTTTTTAACTTGCCACGAATACTGAGGAACTTGCCAGGAAGTGCAAGGGACATCCTAAGTTTTATTTTTGTTGAATTTTGTGACAAAACTCATTTAGCATCATTTGCCTTGGAGTAAAACTTTTTAAAAATTTTAGCAACGACCCTTAGTATAATTCATCTTTTTGAAACCACTGAACAAAGACACTGATATTTTCAAGGAGGAACAGCTGAATACATCCTTTTAGCACATTTTGGCCAACATCTGGACATAGATCTAATGTTTACCTGTATGTGGGGCTCATTTTTCTTGTGTGCTGCCTATATTGATTGTTGATGCCTCATTAAATCAGGCAGTTTAGAGACGGACCTGGATCCCCACTGGCCCATTGCAGTTTTCTGGGTTTTTAAATGCTTGCTATCTTGAGGGTCTTCTTTTCCTCCCAATTTTCTTTCTCACTTTGCCTGAGTGCTACATTGGATGCTTCAATAAAACATGCAATGCCTGGCACTGCAGTATTCTGCTTCACTTACGTCAAATCCTCATGTGTACCATATCAATATTTCATCACTTTCAAAGTTTAGGATAAAATCTCTGTGCCAGCGCACGACCAGATCCTTATTTTGAATGTATCCCAGGTAAATGAGAAACAAATTTAATTAGGCTGCTTTTTTTTTTTTCTTTACCATGAAAGTAAATTATATTATTGCTGTATTATTATAAATAATTGTCAAAAACTAAATAATATACATTATATGTTATGTTTCAATGATTTATTGTAACTAATTCTGAGCATCCATCAGCAATCGGAAAAAGGGACACGGGTATTAAACAGAATTTTGAAGTTCCATAGTTTGTTTTTTTTCCCCCAATGTCTTGGCTCACTTCTTTAGATTTCCCCATGATGGCTAAAAACAATGCTGCACATTTAGAGTGTCACCTGAATATGCATTCCCTTGTGTGCCTTCAATTAAATAAGAAGCTTCACCATCTGAGCTGTTTAAAGGTAAA